GGGAGCCCGATGCGGGACTCGATCCTGGGACTCCAGGATCATGACCTGAGCCGAAGGCAGTCGCTTAACCAACTGAGCCACCCAGGCGCCCATGATTTAGCCACCTTTTATGAACTCTGTAGTTTCTGTGCCTGGTCAGAAATAATTCAGTGTTTTGTTTTTTTGTTTTTTGTTTTTGTGAGAACTTAGGATAGGATTTGTATATATTGAAGTATAAATTTTATAGAATTCAATTATTGTTCAGTGCTGATCCCTCTGTTCCTCCTTTGAGAGCAATTATTTAGAATGAATAAAAATAGTTAAAAAGTTAAAAAAAAAGGTAGTTAAAAAGTTGTAACATTTTCTGTCAGCTAGATAGAAACTAATTTAATGTCATTTCGTTTTACTTTAGTGTGTAATATTTAGTACAGGTATTTCCATACTTCTTTTTTAAAATACTGATCATGACAGTGAAAAAAAGTGTACATTTGGTTTGGATTCCATCTGGGAACCACCTGCATATGCAGTAATGTATATGCTTCAGAGCGGTCGTTTTATTTAGTTTATCATTGTTTTTCTTGATTTAGAGAAAGGTAAACTACTTTTTTCCCATGACCTATTCTGACTTGTGATAATGCAGAGCTATGTATATATATTTATTAGTGTGTTGATGTTTATAATTGTTTTACTTTGGTACCATTGAATGCCATGTATTCAGTTTAATTTATTAAAACATTGTTTTTGTAGTGTTTTCAAAAATAATTACTAAGCTTTCTTTTTTTTTAGATATGTTTATGTGTTTGACACAAATGATATGAAGAAAACTGTACTTGAGCATCTTAAATCTAAAGGGAAAGTAAAACTGTTTGGATTTATACCCTGAAATGTAATTGTATTAAGTGAACAAATTATTTTTTCCAGGCAGACTCCAGGTTAAAAGCGCTTAATGCAACATTCAGAGTGAAAAACCCAGACAAGTAAGGTTTTGTTTTAATAAGTTACAATGTTGTTTTGAATGGTGCCTATCAATTTATTAAATTTTTCATTTCTGAATGTATGCACTTTATTTGCTGACTATTTTAAATAGTAATTCATGTTCAGTGAAATCCTCTTACAGTTAAAACTGATTTTGAGATTTGGTAACTTAATTGGGTTTAAGGTTGCAAGTAACTGAAGTTTTAGAAAATTAAACCACTGCTTTTTCCTAGAAGTATTTATTAAAATGTTGTTCAAGATAATCAGAAAAATAAGAGAAGTAATTTTTAATTTCATATGAAATCATTTTTCTTATATGACTTTGCTTGTCAAATATGTATAAATCTCAAGTTAAGATTATTATATATTGTGTATATATTTAATAATAAACTACTTTGTATGCCAAGAAAACTTGATAAATGCGTACTAGTATAATAACTTCATGGAGAGGTATTTATATGACACTTACTTCATTAACATCAGTTTGGTGTTTGTGAGACCATTTCTATAATAAAGGAAGCCTGTGCATTCAGAAAAAAATTTCCTTAGGCTGGGACCTAGGCATTTCTTAATATTTTGGTTTTACTCATTCTCTGAATTGGGTGGATAATTCAGGTTTTTCATTATATGGACCTTTACCTGGCCTTTGATTCAGCTAAATTTTTCAAATAGGAAGGTGCTCAGGCAGATGAGGCTTTTCCATTTTTGCCTTCGAAGCTCATGAGATGCGTTAGAATTTCTCTAGTTAAGCCTTCAGCATTAATTTCTATGTGGTGTAAATTCTTACCAAATGCCAGGTTTGCATAGTTTGATAACGTATTATGCCTGACTTTATAAATCATAACACATTAACATAATGCCTTTGATTTTTAATAATAAATTTTGAATATAAAATATAAATAAATATTTAAAATTTTGGTGATCAGGAAATTGTGATGGTAACCATTGAGGGTTTTTTTTAAATAGTCTTATTTATTTATTTATTTATTTGACAGAGAGA